TGAATATTGAGCTAGAAAATCAGTAAATCGATAAATTCACAAATCCCGAGCTAGATAATTGACATTCAGCAGTTAACATCCGACATTTGCCAATGTAATTATTTTAACCGTAGTAACCGTCTCTAAGGAAATGCTCGTATCCTCGCTTAAGAAAGATATGGTTATTTCCGTCATTATTCGGCTGCCAAGCAGCCGAGTCTTATATGACTTTGAATAAGACGCATGATTTACTGCGGAATGACACGATTTATTTTGCAAGTGGTTAAGAAATATGCAAGTACATAAAATATTTACATAAATCAGATTTACACTTCATGACCAATTTTAAATTTCTGTCTTTGTTGCAAACATTTTTCTTTACATTTTCTTCAAATAGAAAAACAATGTTTTATTATCTCTGTATATAATGGATTGTGCAATTGTCTGTAGTTTACTAAGATTTGATTTCGTGGAACCAGGCTAAAATAAAATATGCGTAACGATGAGTTGTCTCCAACTTTAGGTGTAATGGTTTATCATAATGCCTTGATCATTGATTAATTTTATCCCGGTAAAACAAACTTTGTCGCGTTTGGAAAAACACATCGATTTAAGAGCTGCTGCATTGCACCGTCTGAATTTTTCAATCTATCTACTTGTTGACTTTTAGAAACCAGGAAACAAGATCGTTTTTGAAGAAATTCAATTTTTATTTCTTTACTTCAATTTTAAGATGATTTGAATAGTGCAGTGCGGACATAGTTCTGATTTCAAAAACTTAAATAACAGCCTTTTATATAGTAAAGCAAAGTCACACATGTGCTGTTTTATTTTGGTTAGATATGGTCTGATGCCTTTAATGTCTTATATACTACGTTAATACTCAAATCTGATGTCATTCCGTCACTCGTCATCATCAGTTTCCGTTAATTATCTAGGCAACACGTTCAACTCAAATTTGACATATAGACATATCATAGGAAAATGCAGGTGAAGTTCGCATTTAGTCATGGTCCGATGATTTTTGACAGAGTGTTGCCCCTTGATACGTCAAAGGAAAGCGCGGATCAAATTTAAATTTTGTCATGGTTCAATTATTTTTGGAAGAGTTGTACCCCTTTTACTTTGAAAATAAATTTCAAAAACAAATTCAGTTTCCGTTCATTATATCCCCAACAATTAAATACATTCAAATCAAATTTAACATATAGATTACGACAAAAGAATGCAAAGGTTAAGTTCGAATTTGGTCATGGTTCGATGATTTTTGACAGAGTTATGCCTCCTTATTTTTTGGAAAAAAAAGAACAAATTTTTAGTTTCAGTTTAATATTGAGTATCTCCCCAACTCATATTTTCATAAAGATATGTCATAGAAATGCGCAGGTCAAGTTCGAATTTGGTCATAGTCTGATGAGTTTTGACATAGTTATGTCCCTTTAACTTTTGAAAAAGAAGAGTTTTCAGTTTCCGTTCATTACCTCCCCAGTTGTACACATTCAACACAAATTTAAGATAACGATATGTCATGGGAATGCACATGTCAAGTTTGAATTTGGTCATGTTTCGATAACTTTAGTTATCCCTTTGAACGATGGAAAAAAATGAAATTATCAGTTTCGTCACTCTTACTTTCGTGGAAATGTTTGTATAAGGTTGAAAGTGCATGTACAGGTATTTAACCAGATTGGTTCAATGATTTTTGACAAGAGTTGTCTTTCTTGAACTTAGGTATCATGCGGAGGGCATTGCTTTACGGCATATTTTTAGCTTGAAACCCCTAACCAGTGTTTCAACAGAGATTGTGCAAAAAGATAGTCTGGAGATTGGCGAATACTTGATAATTTTTAATAGATCCAAATCAAAAATATTTACAAATTTATAAACGATGAGTATGTCATAATAACAGCGGATTTTAGGAACATAAAACATGGCTAAGTATGCATCACTATGATGGCCGGTTGCGGGTTGCGTAGTTTTACTTATTTCTCTTGCATCCTTTAGCAAATAAAAGAATTCAGTGGAGCAGTAAAAATTCGGTTATGGGTATTAAGTGCAACAAATTCCATTCATTGACAAATATGATAAACATGTTCCGACTCCGTGGACACACACTATTGTTTTCAATATACTTTGTTTTTATGAAGTTTTATAGTTGTAAATAGAGGAGTGGATGTCGTGTATGTGCAGGAATGCATATGGAAAACTATTGCACGTGGAGTGTGAGATAAGCTTATAAGAGATTAGACTTTCCAGTACCTCTATATTTTAGCTGCATTTATAAAAATTGCCTTACTCCTCAAATGTTAACATTGCAATATACTAACGTAATATAAATAATCATATATTTTACTTCATTTCTATCAATTTATCTACTTATTTTTCTAAAAAGGTAATAACACCGTAGGGAACGTGTTACAGTATCGCGTTTTTCGGTTACAGTATAGAATTTTCAAGATGGAGGATTATTTATGGGAATAGAGGTAGGTGATTTTTATTCAGGTCCATACTACTAGTAGTTTAGTTTCTAAAAGTTGTTTTTGTGCTTTGTTTGTAAGGAATTTAATCCGGTATCTAGTCATATATTTCTTCAGACCCTGCACCGCAGATTTATCTCTATTATTGTCTCATAAATGTGCAGATTTGACAGTTTAAAAATTTGAATCGAGAGACCAACGCATTTTTCTCCCATTCCGACATTATTTAAGCATGCCTAGATAAAGTAACTCTACAAAACGTTAGTACTTTGTATTTAGAAACGTTTATAAAAGTAAATGACCAGTTGAACCTATTTTCCTGTTGGTAAAATGCGTTTGAAAAAATAAACAATGTTACAGTATAGAGCGAGGTTAATTTTGAAGGGTTACAGCATAGACCTAGCGACTTTGATCCAATTTTGTTACAGTTTATACCCAGATATCGGTAACAGTTTAGATACTTGCCAAATTTTAAAAAAAGTTCGTCATTTTTATGAAATAACTCATACCTTTCTATTTAATACATTCTTGAAAGGTTGTTTTACTTTTTTCCTTCAGCAGAAAAGTTATAGTTTGCTATTTTCCTTACTTTAAGTTTCAGATTGAGACTTTTTGCAGAATAAGTAATGTCCTAAGTAAGTACTGTTTTCACGACAACAAACTTTTATCGAATTGTATTGAGAGAAGAAAGGTTATTGCTTGATTTCATTACACATTATAATAATGCCTATTAGTAATAAAGTAGAGAAAAAAGAATCCTTAACAGAAGTCCAACACGGAAAACATGCAAATGTTGCAGGCTCAGTTTGATTAAACCTGTTCATGGACGATAGTGGTAACTGCAAGCTACCGTCCACGCCTCCTAGCACCGGCTTTAGCAGAATTCACATTAAACGTGAACTGGTACACTTTAGATTTTTTAACATCTGTGGATGTGTTCATATGGCGGTTATCATGGAACCTTCAATGTGACACGTTATTGCCATTCTATGAAAAGCGGCATATTACCCCCAGGTTAAAATTTGCGTGTTCCCTAAACGAGAATACAATGAGTAAAACTAAATAAAATGCAATTTTGAGAGGGGATCGGAGGTTATGAAGCCTGCATACCATAGATAAGCTGTCAAAAGACACAATTAACAAGCAGGTAATACCCTAGGGATGATTAAACAGTATTTAAGTGAACAATACTGCAATCTTAAATTTTATTTTAAGTTGGAATTTCCATCTACCATAATGTATTTTGTAAGTATTTAAAAGGGTTTATTACGTTTGGCTTTCTTGGATTTTAAGTTTCAACGACACTGAGGTCATGTGAAAACATTCCTGCTTTAGTGTAAAGAAAGACCCCAGATACCCTTTGTGAAACATTTCAGACACGAGCGGGCACCTGACTAGAACCACCGACCTTCCGTAAATTAGCTTGATAGATTCCTTACATACAAAGAATCCAGTCATGATTTGATTTCAACTACAGCAGTAAATGAAAGATGATTTGAAGTCGGCGGCCTTATCCCGATTCTGCCACTATTATGTCCCTCCATTAGGCTCACTAAAGAAGATATTGTAATTGTCTGACCTTAATTTATACTCTATAACTTTCAATATTATTTTCTTTTTCAGAAACATGAAAACTGCTATACAGGGTGTCTAAAATAAAAAAAAACGACTTTTAATTTAATAATGACAAAATAATCGTAACTTCAACAAAGAAGCATTCGAAATGACGCCATGATCATGGTTTGATTTGAATGCTTTTGGTTCGAGATAAGAAGGATCTTTCAACATTGCCTTTTTCAAAATCTATGTTTTTGGTTTTCGTATCCCCGGTTGCAACCGAAACCATTTGAACAACTTAATTGGTAGAAAGTTATGTAAATTTCATCACATTTAGTCGAGTAGTTACTAAGCGGATGAGATTGCACACACATGTGTAGGACAGACGGACGAATAGCCATCGAGCCAATAAGCTCACAGAGATTTAAAAGTATACATTTTACTAAGTATATATAGAAAATATCGAAGTCTAAACTGTAACCGAAATCTGGGTATAAACTGTAACAAAATCGGATCAAAGTCGCAAGGTCTATGCTGTAACCCTGCACAAATCAACTCGCTCTATACTGTAACATTGTTGTTTTTTTTTCAAACGCATTTAACGAACAGGAAAATAGGTTCAACTGGTCATTTACTTTTATAAACGTTTCCTAACATAAGGAACTAAAGTTTTGCAGATTTACTTTTTCTAGGCATGCATAAATAATGTCGAAATTGGAGAAAAATGCGTTGGTCTCTCGATTCAAATTTTCAAACTGTCAAATCTGCATTTTTATGAGTGAATTTATCGATGAATCTGCGGTGCAGAGTCTGAAGAAATATATGACTATATACCGGATTCTGTTCCTCACAAGCAAAGCACAAAAACATCTTTTAGAAACTAAACTACTTGTAGTATGGACCGGAATAAAAATCACCTACCTGTCCTCCCAACAAATAATCCTCCATCTTTAAAATTCTATACTGTAACCGGAAAACGCGATACTGTTACACGTTCCCTACGGTGAATAAATAGTTGTGCTTATTGTACACTCTAAAAAAATGCCTTAATAACACGATACCTATATTCGGTACTCCTTGTATATTTTCTATCTCTTTTTGCCAAAGACCTTGTATGAGGAGACTCCTGTTTGCTCGAATACATTCTCTTATCACATCAGTATCACCCCATTGCCGTTTTTCAACAAGACGACTGGATTCGTCCTCGGTAAACTGTGAACTTATGTCACGCAACAATTTTGTCAATTTGGGAAAGACTGGCCCATAGTCAACACTTTCAACTGTATACAATTTAACAAACATATCAATTGAAATGATGTTGCATACAATATCATTCATATATGGAATAATGATAGTTCAAGCGTATTATATAATGATCTCGAAAAAGTAATTTGTATATTGCAGTGCAATCAAATGCTATTTATAGAATGATATCTTCGAGAAACTACCAACATGAGGCTTCGACAATATGTAATTTAAGGAAACAAATATGAGAAAACAAAACGACTAGTATTGTGTTGGCCTTCATTGTTTATCTTAATAAAAAACAAAATTCAGATTCTAGATCATTAATACTTTAAGCATCTTAATAAAATTTGAAATGTTGACTCGAAAGTCTTCTTACCTAGTTTGAATGTAAAATAAGTCATTTTTTGTAGAAGAATATCCTCAGCTTTATTTGACTTGAGGTCTTGAAGCAACATGGTCTCTTTTAACCTTTTCTCTTCATAATTCTTAATCTGTTTAAGCTGTTCGTCTTCGTCTTCCTTCAATTCTGTCCATAACCGCAACAGATCTTTTCTTTTGAGTCGTTCTTGTATTTCAATCAAGAACTTTTCTGAGAAAATGTGAAGAGAAAAAACCCTAAAGATACTATATTTCGCTGAAAATTTGAATACCGAATTAAATGCAGTGCCATTATCTTAGCTAAGTTTAGCGTATTTGTAATTGTAACTATCGAAGTTTAAAACTTAAAAACGATATAAATTGAATAAGAAATAACAAATATCGGTATTGGTATTCTCATAATATATTGCTTGAACAAAAATGTTCATAAAATTCTTAGTGATTTAAACTGGACATATTATTGTTTTTATTCTAGAACGATTTATCATTTTTTATCTTCTATATAAATATATATTTTATACTAACCAATAACTTAAAATTATCCTTGTTTGTGTTCTTGTCACGTATAAAACTAAATGAATAAATCTACATAATTATTTCTTTTATAAAAGACCTTTCATTATGGACTAATTCAATTCAAATGTTAAGATAAATGTTTTACAATAAACAAGGAATAAACGTCACCGAAATATAGGCGTTAAATATACTGATTGTAATGTAAACTTTAATCCAGTAATGTCTTCGAATTCGTACGAAGCGCCCAAATGTATGAACTAAGAGGCGTTAAATTATTCAATTTTCAGATTACAAAACGGCCGTCATCACTGAATGGGTTGTACAGATAAAAAAATTTGAAAACAGAAATATCGAATCTGCTCCCTTGATTTAAGACCATTTTTTGTTTACCTAAAGACGATTGATTTCGGGGATAAACTTGTAGTTTAGTTATACAGTAAAGAAATGTTACGCACGAATATAAAATAGAATATATAGTCAAAGAAAAGAAAGGGATGCAATTGAGAAGCGATGATAACGTTTGCACTGTTTGGGCCACAAAGCAGTCGTTGGTTCCCAGCTTTATTTAATTTAGCTCAATGCTTGTTATGCTTAATGCTATACTGATAATCTTAAAGTTCTATTTTTAGAATTGCAATTAGTACTGCTTCATATCAGAAATGGTGCGGTACTGCTATAGTAATAAATTTCCTTCAAATAGTATAGAAAATATAATGGCTTTTAACCTTTTCTAACATGAAACAACAATGATATTATGATTGCAAGGGATAGGTTTGTAGTAGCATGAAAACAACTGGTTATACCAAACAGCATTTATGAACAGGACATGCAAAACAAAGTTGTAGGAAAGTCGGTAGGACAGCACGCTCGACTTTTCTTAGTGCTTGATAGCAAAAAGAGCATTGATGATGTAAGATTTTCTAAGTCAACAAAAGGCTAGAATTTTTCTTAAAATTAATGTTCAGTTGTAGCCCTTGGACAGAGTCCTATTATGGTCTCAAAGAAGTGTACACAATTTTAACTTGATTTGAAGCCAGATGTCAGTGGAATATAAAAATATCTGAGGTGATATCGAACTTTAACGTAAATTCTAAGTCGTAAAAGGGGCAATATTCTGTATAGATGCTTTATAGAGTTACCTCCTCTTGTCTTCAGATTGGGGATATGACGGTTAACAAGTGTGCAAAGTTTCAATGTCATATGTTAATGACTTTGTAAATATTTGAGGTGTTACAAAAAACTTTAACATAAATTCGAAGTACAAAAGGGACATATTTCTGTCAAAATGCTTGATAGAGTTACCACCCGCTGTGTAGTCATTAGGGGCATGATGGTAAACATTTGTGATCATTTTCAGTGCCACATGTAAATGGACTTTGAAAATATTTTAGGTGGTAGGCAACTTTAATGTAAATTTTAAGTCGAAAAGGGGCATAATTCTGTTAAAATGCTTGAAAGAGTTATCTCCTTATGTTTACAGGTTGATGGCATAATGGTGAACAATTGTGCAAAGTTCCAAAGCCATATGTCAGTGGACTTTGAAAATATTTGAGGTACATTTTTTGTATTACAAAACAATTAACAAAAGTGGTTTCGCCGGCGCCGACACTCGGATGACTAGCATAGCTCTACTTATTCTTATCGAATTGTCGAGCTAAAATTAAACATAGCACATTTAACAGAGAGAAGAATACAATTGTTTTCATCAGTTATCTTCCATAACGCTAACACGCAATCGGCATCTCAAGTGACATAAATTGATACAATTAATTGACAAAATAAATGTTGAAAATGGGTAAAATATGCAGGAATATCATACGTAATATATAACACAATTTCATAGTTAAAATTATACAATACATTAAGTATTAAGTTTTTACCTGGATTTATAAACTTTTCCAAACGTTCCATTTTTTGGAACATCAATCCAGAAATCAGAAGAGACTTGTCTAACTCAATACATTTACTTATTGCATCGACATCCTCTGCGACAAGCATACTTGAAAGCTCCTCACGCTCACTCTCTGTCAGTAACATATACAACCCTTTGAATTTGTGTACAATATTAACTATTGAACTGTGATCCATATTGATCTGCAGAAATGTACCTGTAATAATAAAATGATTATAATTTACAAATTATCATTGTTCTCTTGTAATTGTACATCAGTAAGAAAATTAATGTGAATTTCGCAGATAAAGATATGCTCTGAAATCCCATATTCACATAGGCGAAAGTAAGTCTTTTTACAAGGTAAGTTTTCGATTTTTTCAAAATTTTATGAAATACAAAACTTTATGTTTGTTTGATTTTTAAGAGTTTTTATTTGTTTTGAGGTCATCGGCGACACAGACACAATACTGGTCATATCGCGCCGAACATTCTAATAAGTAAGCCACAAGTGAATAAATTGAATCCTGAATACAAGTTGACTTCCTTTAGTAAACTAAGAATTAATTTATTTATTTGTGCCGACGCTTTTTATGCATACTTATAATACTGTCATACCCATATTAAAAATAAACAAAGGCCGATTAAAATTCCATATGAGGTGAAAGGGTACATAGGTCTATGATGTATAAGTTATCAACATACATGTGATAATGTATCACTCTCGTACAACATCCGATATTTAAGTCTCTTTATTTGAATCATTCTTTAATTCAAATAGATTAGTCGGAAAAAAATTATTAAAAATTTGCCATTCAAACTCTTTTGGCAATTCTATGCAATGATGAACTTTTATACAACATTATAAAATTTAATGTACAAACTACATGATACGATTGCTTAAAAGATTAAGTATAAATTTAAGTCAATTGTGAGAAAAAATCATAACAATTTATTAAACTTTAAAATGCAATGAAAAAACAACTTTTCAGCTTAATTACGCCTTATATATCACTATGTGATATTTTGTCTTTCGTGCTTGTACACAAACTAAACAGTTTGAATGGCTATATGACTTAAATTAGAAACAAAACTCATGCAACCTTCTTTGAATGTAAGCACTTCTGCGAAAATGATGGCTATCTCTTGAGGTGTCTTCAATTTATGCTCAAGATGCCGAATAAGCTGCTTGTGAAAGTCTTTTTTTTCCTGTTGTTTCTTTTCTGCTGCCATCTCTTGTACAATTGTTTTGACCGAACTTAGAAGATCTAAGCCAATCGTTTGTCCACATTGAGCAAGCATGTCATCTAAAACATGTTTAAACTAGACTTAAAATTACACTAAAAGTATCGGAATTAAGATTATAGCTGCTTTCGTACGGTATTATTTCCCGTACAAGATGTGCAATTGCATTTAAAATTTCTGAATGCGAATTAAAATTAATCCTCTTAAAATAGCTATATATATGTTTGCTGATAAATTGCTCTCTTAACACAGATTCATCCAAGAAAAAAGTATAACTCTCATATTGCTTTATTTTTATGGGATTTCCATTTCTTTTGTATCATATTTCAATAAAAAGGGCCAATTTAAAAAAAAAAATTTGCAATTTCAAATTATGTTTATTTTAAAAATGGTTAAAAACAGGGTGGGGGAAACGAGACTGCGGGCGTTTTCTTACAAAAAAATAAACAAATTTCCCCATCCTTTTGAAAGAAAGGGGTATTTGTTTTTTTTTATTAACCCTTTTTTGGGAAAAGACTTTAAAAAACAAATTGGGTTTTTAAAAAGGCTCACCTATTTTTTTTTCGTTCGGTACAAAATTTATCTATCTTGTCAAACCCAAAATTTTTAGCGAAACTTGGGAACCAAGCGGGCCAGAAATTTTTCGGATTTTTTGGGGTTTCGATAATTATTTTTGCCTTTTTTTCCAAATTTTTTTTTATTTTTTTTCTAAAAACCCTTTTTACTTTGTTTCAGAAAATAACCATGAAACCCTTCAAAAAATAATTTTACATCATTTACTTAAATTTCAAATTAAAAGAAAGTTTATTTTTACAGAAAATAATGATTTATACGAAATGATACGACGCAGTTGAAAATTAAATAAGATACGACGCAGTTTTTTACAGGTAAATATCCACCACATGTAAAACATATGTAACACACATGTTTTACATATGGTAGAAACATATGGTTACTCCAAGAAAAGTACCCCGTATGTTTTACACATGGTACAGACACTTGTTTTTCATAATTATGAATATACATGTTTTTTATATGGTAGGAAACAGTGTTTCGTTTATGTTTTTCATTACAATTGTTAAATAAAATGTGTGCCAGAGTTTGGTATGCTTGCGCTTAAGGATTAAGTGTTCAATGGTGATCTCATTTTTTAATGCGTTTATTTAAGGTCGCCACCGAAAAGCCCATATCGGCGACCGTACAGTCAAATCGAACCATCCTAGAGCGTCCCGCCGAGATTTTTCGTCGAGTTTTCCAGCTTTTATTGGTGGAGGAAGAGCCCAGGTGCCCCTCCGGGCATTATTTCAGGCACGAGCGTACACTCAAGTCGGGCCATCTTAGAGCGTCCCGCCGAGGGTTTTCGTCGATTTTTTTTCCAGCTTTTATTGGTGGAGGGAGACCCCAGGTGCCCCTCCGGGTATTATTTCAGGCACGAGCGGGCGCCTGGGTAGAACCAACGACCTTCTGCAAGCCAGCTGGATGGCTTCCTCACATGAAAGATTTCGACCCGAGTGAGGATCGAACCTACAGCGGTGAGGGACATGTGATCTCAAGTCAGCGACCTTAAACACTCGGCCACGGAGGCCCCCTTGTAATCCAGTTACCTCTTTGGCGCGGGTTCGATCCCCGGGAGATGCTTTGGTAGTTTAGCGTGGAGGAATGTAGTCTAGTACTGGTGTAACTCTCCAGGAACGATGATTAGGAAACTACCCGCCTTTATGACTAAAATACTGTTGGAAAAAGGCGTGAAATGAAACAAACAAACAAACAAACAAACATACAGGATCTTTAAACACTAGGTATAAGTTAGAACATTTATCAAGGTCACTCCCTAGAGGACACTTCGTTAACCAAGATTCTTTTAAGAATTTATGTACAATCATGTAGAATCTAATTTAGACTGTTCAAAGTGTAAATCTTGCAGAATATATGATCATAATTTTTCAGCAAACATGTGGTGCATATATTTACCTGTGTAAATACTGCGTCATGAACTTGTCATGTGGAAACTTGCTTATCAGCAAGAACAATGGCAGTTTGAAGTTAATCCGTTAGGTATTTAAACGGATGATGTAAAAGGAGCTATTTTCTTAGTTTGATTTTTAAGAAGTTCAAAGGAGGTACATAATTATTAAGATATAGGTGGTGATGAAATAAACTTTGCTCTATGTGATGTTTATGATAAAAGGGATATTATCTATGTAAATTGTATGTGTATTTTGGTAAAAATATGAAACAATATTTATATGAAGGTGTTGACAGTTCATTTAATATGGAACATATAGATATGAACCTTGGCAGTTTTAATACGCGATTATAATTCAATTTCAAGTTGATAATTAATTCAGTTTTTGAGAATGGATATGTACCTACTCAATGCAAAAGTTATACATTTGTCATTAACCTTATCATTTGTAAAATTGGTTTGAATTGTTTCTTTAAATCAATAACTGGATAAGTATTAAAATACGTACACCTTAGTTATAAGTTACAACGTTTTTAGTTAAAGATGAAGCCATTGGATAATAAAACGATAAACTAAAATATCAACTACACTAAAAGAAATGTTGAAATACGGTCACCGACAAACTAAACCTTATGGCAATTAAATTATTAATAATTTGATGATTTTACTGACTACATAATAGTTAGCTGCAAGAGAAAAAAGAAAAGGGGAATATCGAATATATTTACTGGTACACTTTAAACGAAAATATTAAAAAAGATAATGAGGAAATATTCTTAAGATAGAATTAAACTCAATATTCTTAAAACGCTTCAACGTGTTTCAGTTTAAGGTCATTTTGGAAAATGAAAAAAAAAAATTCTAGAAAAAATTGGGTGATAATCTGGGATCTATAAAAAGGTTCAATGCTGTTAAGTATTCCATTGATGAAGATTTATTGGATTACTCTGTAATAAGTCCAGAAAGACAAGGAAAAGGAACAAAGGGCAATAACTCTATAAATACTGAAGATTGAGTTATTGTGCACTGCACTTCCTCTCATTGCGCTTGACCATTGTATGAAGTTGTATTGAATTTCAACTACTAGTTTTCAAGTTATGCACTGGACAAAAAAGTAACAAAGGCAATAACTGTAATTAGTCCAAATAGAGTTATTGGTCTTGTGCTCTGCACTTCATCTCACTGCCCTTGACCATTGTATAAAGTTTCATTGAATTCCAACCATTAATTTTCAAGTTATGTACTGGACAATAAAAAGTAACAAAGGGCAAAAACTTTTAAATTAGTCAAAAAAGAGTTATGGTTTCTGTGCCCTGCACTTCCTCTCAATATACTTGACCATTGTATGAAACAGTTTTGAATTCCAACTAGTAGTTTTCAAGTTATGCTCTGGACAAGAAAGAAGCAATGGAAAAGTAACAAAGGGCAATAACACTATAATTACTCTGGACAGAGTTTAAGTTCTTGTGCTTGACCATTGTATGAAGTTGTTTTGAATTCCAACCAGTAGTTATGCTCCGGACAAGGAAAAGTAACAAAGAGCAGAAATTCTGTAATTAGTCAAAATGGAGTTATGGTTCTTGTGCACTGCACTTCCTCTTATTGTGCTTGACCATTGTATAAAGTTGTTGTAAATTCCAACCAGTATGTTTTAAGTTATGCTCCGGACAAGGAAAAGTATCAAAGGGCAATAACTCTGTAATTAGTCAAAATGGAGTTATGGCTCTTACGCACTGCACTTCCTTTCAAAGTGCTTGACCATTGTATGAAGTTATATTGAATTCCAACCATTAGTCTTCAAGTTATGCTCCGGACAAGGAAAAGCAATAGAAAAATAACAGAGGGCAATAACTCTGTAATTACTTTAGATACAGTTATGGTTCTTATGCATGGCACTTCCCCTTATTGTGCTTGACCATTTTATGAAGTTGTTTTGAATTCCAACCAGTAGTTTTCAAGTTATGCTCCGGACATGGAAAAGTAACAAAGGACAGTAACTCTGTAATTAGTCAAAATGAAGTTATGGTTCTTGTGCACTGCACTTCCCCTCAATGTGCTTGACCATTGTATGAAGTTATATTGAATTCCAACTATTAGTGTTCAAGTTATAGTCCGGACAAAAGAAAGCAATGGAAAAATAACAAAGGATAATAACTCTGTAATTACTTTAGATAGAGTTATGGTTTTTGTGCACTGCACTTCCCCTTATTGTGCTTGACAATTGTATGAAGTTGTTTCGAGTTTCAACCAGTAGTTTTCAAGTTATGCTCCGGACATGGAAAAGTAACAAAGGGCAATTACTCTGTAATTAGTCAAGATGGAGTTATGGTTCTTGTGCACTGCACTTCCTTTCAATATGCTCCGGACAAAGAAAAGTAACAAAGGGCAATAACTCTGTAATTAGTCAAGATGGAGTTATGGTTCTTGTGCACTGCACTTCCTTTCAATGTTCTTGACCATTGTATGAAGTTACATTGAATTCCAACCATTAGTCTTCAAGTTATGCTCTGGACAAGGAAAATGCAACGGACCGCTGGACCGACCGACCGACCGACCAACCAACCGACCGACCAACCGACCGACCATCGGGTGACTCCTATATACCCCCAAACTTTGTTTTGGGGGGGTATAAAAAATAGCGCTGGACAGTCCTAAAAGTAGCAGAATATAAAGAAAATAGTATTTTAACTTCAATGCAAAACATTACTCACTATAATTATACCAATTACAAACAGAACAACAAGATGCAAAAGATAAAATATGTAAGTAGCAAATGAGTATGTTTTTGGAAACTGTAACAAGATACAAAAACAACAGTGTTTGAGAAATAAGAATGATACTATGTTTAAGGCAGTCCATGCCGTGAAGTTGAAATCGTGAATTCGTGAAATTGAAATCGTGAGTTCGTGAAGTTGAAATCGTGAATTCGTGAAGTTGAAATCGTTAATTCATAAAGTTGAAATCGTGAATTCATGAAGTTGAAATTGTGAATTCGTGAAGTTGAAATCGTGAATTCACGAAGATGAATTCGTGAAGTTTCGTGAAGTTGAAATCGTGAATTCATGAAGTTGAAATCGTGAATTCGTGAAGTTGAAATCGTAAATTCATGAAGTTGAGATCGTAAATTCGTGAAGTTGAAATCGTGAATTCTTGAAGTCCGTATGTTGAAAACGGGAATTCACGAAAGTTAAATTGTGAATTCATGAAGATGAAATGGCCCTACCGGTCTTTCGTACAAATTGGGCCTTTAAAGAACATTACTTGATCAAATAAGACTGAATTAATTTCATGAATACTTTGATCAATAATGTATTGATGTAATTTTGTGTTGATAATATAAAAACATGTAGATATTGCGTGTAAATTAAATATCTTTGACAGCATCGATCAGTGCTTGAATTATTTTAATTGATATCTGTCCACTATTTCAATGCTAGCAGTTTTTTCTCACCCTTACGTGTTCGTTTAACTTCATAGACCTACATAATTCATGCAAACTTTACAAACTTCAAAATTTCGGATTGAAATACACCATGAATAAAAGCAGTATTGAGATAATTTTATACCATATAACTAGGCTGAATAAACACCCTGAAAATTCACTAAGTTTTCGTATTTTTTAAAAATCGTTCAAGATAGTATCTGTCTAAATACATTATATTCTTGCTTAAAGACTGCAAACACAGGTATGGAAAACAGCTTCAACGAATAAATCACGCGAGTACACGCTGATATTGCATATTTTCTTAAAGCCCTGTGACACTAGACTGTGCATTTATAAGTATTATAATTTATCATATATACATATATATTTTTTATTTTATTTATATTTATTTAGAATAATCTGAAATTTAGCGTACAAATAATTTGTATAGACCCTAAAGAAATAGTTAACATCTATAAAAAAATTAATGCTTTAATGTAAAGACTCCTCAGCCGAGTCCCTTTAAAAAACAATCATTTTGCATTCAAATAGTTTGGATTTAATCATAATTACCGTTATCTGAAACTCTTTTTTAGTTATTATGTATAAACATGTTTAAACAATTATATATTTACCTTCAAATATTACAGTAACTATAAACTGATATTATAATATTTTATCCGAATTCGTATATAAGTCTAAATATATTATACATGTCCTGTTTCATTTATGAATTTACCTATTGATCAAAAATTAATTCTTCACAAAATGAATGTGCAGAAAGTTACATTTAACAAATCGGAAGTTGATTTTCTCACCTTTATACGATTTTTTAATCATACGAGTTTAACACCTGTTTCAACAAGTGACATGCTTTAGAGAATTTAAGCGGATGCATAGATCTGAATTGGTATTGACTGTAATATCAGCTGTCTCAATGGTGGGGTAAGATAAATAAAACAATGGACTGGGACTGAAACTGATGATCTTAAAAATGGATAAGTGGGGTGGTCTTAAATGTGGACCATGTTAGCATTAACATAAAGAACAGAAAATTCCGTTTATCTTAATAGAGGGTGGTCTTAATTCCTGGGTGGTCTTAAGTAGGGATTCTACTGAACTGACACCAATTTCTTTATACAAAAATATAACGTAAAGCAGATTTACAGAATCAGACTTCGTACACTTAAACGCAAATATTGAACTTATTATTCTTTCTGGTGCATTAATCTTTTAAGAATCCTTCAAAATTATTCAATATTTCGCCCTTCGGGCTCGGGCTATAAAGCTAAAAAGGTGAATTAGCCTAGTTTTATGTATTTTTCTAGACAATGCTTGTGCTTTGTTTCCGTAATGAGCTTAGTTTGTTTACCAGTATTCATCGGTTTATTTTCCGCTATTGATTCCTTGCAAAGTATACCAATCAATATTAACCCTTCGTCAGCGTCTATGCAGGCATTTACCACGTCATCCTTTGACAATTGATAGACGTCTCTAAGTTTAGCTTTCTGTTCGCTTGAGATTTTTTCCGATGTCTTATGCAGTACTTCAACTAATTCCATTTTCAATACTGAATTGAAACCTGCAAAACATAATATTTTAATAATTAGCATCTCTTTATATAGCAATCACGATTTCATACATGTAATGATATAATTTTGTTAAGCATATGTGAGTGTGTGTGTGTGTGCGCGCGCGCGCGTGTGTGTGCGTGTGTGTGTGTGTGTGTTGGTGAACGTGTGCGTGCGTGTGAGTAAGTTTTGTCTCTTGGTTTATATTTTACATAAACAACGAGTAAATATTTTTTTTCTACAGCGATACACTGAGCTGTAGTTAGAGTGTCATGGTTCAGTGAACTGTTATTTAAGAACTGTTGTTGTGCGCACATTGTATATCTTTGCATTTGTTGATTTTTCTGCTGCATTTGATAAAGTATGGAGAATAGGTTCATGGCAAAAACTAATCAAAACGAATATAAATGGGAAAATATTTAATGTCATTTTTACTATGTATATATTTAATGTCATTTTTACTATGTATCAAAATATAAAATCAGGAATAACGCATTTAGGAGAAAATTCTGATTGTCTCTGTTCAAATACAGGCGTCAGACAGGGTGAAAATTTAAGTCCGGTTTTATGTTCCATCTCTTGAAATAATTTACAAGAACACTCAGAATCACACGGATCAGTAGGGATAGAGTTAACAGATACACTCGACACTGAATATTGGCTTAAACTGCTAGTTTTACTTCAGCCGATGATTCAGTGATTATATCCAATTCAAAAATTGTTTTCCAAAATACAATACTACACTTTAATAAATTCTGCGAACAATGGCATTCTAATTTAACACAAACAAAACAAACGTAGTGATACTCGACGCAAGAAATGTAAGAAATTTCCAATTTCATAGAGGCGAATCAAATTTAGAAATAACGGAAAAATATTTATGCATCGAATTAACTTTCTGTAGTAATGGTTCTTTTTTACAAGCTCTTACACACATCGTCCAACAAGCAAAAAATGGCATATACCTTCTTTTTTTACAAAGGTTAATAATCTAAGTTTACCATTTGATTTAATTCTTAAGCTTTTTGACCATACTGATCTCCCAATTCTTATGTATGGATCAGAAGTTTTTGGCGATAATGAAACACACAACTCCAGTCATCTATAAAGGGTTATACAAAGAAACCCATAGTATTGAAAAATATCAAATACGTTTACCAAAACATAAACGCGAAATAATGTTTAAATTTCGTACAAATAACACGCACTTTCCAGAAGAAATGGGATGCTTGCACGGGACGTCTCTTGAAAATAGGCGATGCGTACTTTGTTCAGAAAACGCTATTGTAAATAGCAAACACTATTTATTACGTTGCGAAAAATTCAAAGAACAAAGACAAACCATTTTACAAAAAATTTCTTCCTTGAAAATATTGATCTTAACTTTAAACGCATTGTATGGTGGCTGATTTGTGCCATTCGTGTTTTCGCCCCACGCCCCGCCAAGCGATAATTCGAACAACTTTGATAAAACACGTTACTAAGCGAGGGCACGGGGAGAAGTTGAATAAATAAAACTTCGTCCCACGGGGGCGCGGAGCAAGATTTAAGAAATAAAACGGCGGGATCGCGGAACGAAAACACGCTTATTAGCGGGACACGGGGCGAATTATAATAAATAAAACTTCGCCGCACGCCCCCGCTAATTAGCGTGTTTTCGTCCCGCGACCCCGCCAAGCGAAAAGTCGAGAATAAACAAGTTAAAGTGGCGGGGGCGCTATTTAGCGTGTTTTCGCTCCGCGCCCCGCCGTTTTATTTCTTAAATCTCCTCCCGCGATCCCGCGGGGCGAAGTTTTATTTATTAAACATCGCCCCGTGCCTTCGCTGATTATCGTGTTTTCGTCCCGCGACCCCGCCGTTTTCACTTGTTAATTCTCGACCTTTCGTTCGGCGGGGTCGCGGGGCGAAAACACGAATGGCACAGATCAGCCATCATAGAATTGTCAATATAGAGTCGGAAAATAACCTTAAAATACTCTGTAAATTCTTATCAATATTGCTCAAGCACGTGCGTGAGTTCCGCAGACATAAACAGTATAGCCATTGAAAACATAAATGCATCTGTTAATATTATAATAATGTTAAAAAAATGATCTTATTGAATTTGTCATTATATATGCATGTCTTGAAATATGCTAGATAAGTTCCACCCGGAGTACGTCGATCTTACATAATCGGTCTTGTTAAAGAATTTCAAATTTCAAAATTAAAGAATTTCGAAGCTGTCCCGTACCCTCGACGGCACTTATGCATTATAAAAATATTCATTCCTGTATAATTGCAGATTACATTATTATATTAACTATTACTTTGTAAAGACAGTACCTTATTGCGTAAATCCTAATAAATCCGGTGTTTATTCCAATTGAATGAGCGGTAAAGACAGTACCTTATTGCGTACATCCTAATAAATCCGGTATTTATTCCAATTGAATGTAAAACATGCGCATTTGTTTATATTTATTGATTAGACCAGGTTACCCACGTGTTGTCTGAACAGAATTACTGCGCAACAAGAACGATTAGCACGAGGCATTCATTCACACACACGAAAAAAAACGTCGTAGTAAAAAAATTACTAGAGCGGGCAAAAAGAATTGTTTATTCCTAGTATTTTTTGGAGAGTTTATCAGACCTCTCTACAGTGTTGAGAATGATTGCTGGCGGCATCCATTTTTTCGTATCAAATTGAAGCTAATGCATCGTATTTTATGACTTTAAACATTAGAATCAGTCTACAAAAATGTTATGCGCATGCTCCGCCTCAAAATACGACTTAACTTTAACGAAAAATAAACATCAAAGTGAACAAATCGGTACATGAAAAATCGGAAAATCATTTACGTTACTTAATTAATACTACGATCACTGGTTCATACCATTTTTAATCCTTTGAACTGTATACATTGATACTTGTTTTATGAATAGCATTTTACTATTTCATGTTCCGAAAATTAGGAACAGTGAACATAATCGCACTATCAAATGACCGAGTGAACGGTGTACCAAAAAGTTGCTGCTACTTTCACTTTTGAACTGGTATGACTAAAATTCGCATCGGAGATTTTTGGCGCAAATGGCGAAAATGACACAACTTTTTCTCAAGTTTGATTTTCTTGCCATATTGTGGTTGGAGGCATGCAACAGTATATATTGTTTATTCCAATCAAATGATATATACATTAAAAATGTAAATCTGGGACTTAAAATTGTTTGATTAACATACTTTATGCCCGTTTTGGAAAATCTCTGGTGTCTTTTATATCTCCAAATATTTTCTAAATTAACAAATCTTCAACAGCTGCAAAAAGACCACTCGCATGCTTCTTTTTAAAGAAGCAAACTTGTGTTATATAAGGTCCTCATATCTCCGCACCTGAACCCCCATTTCTTTCTTTAAAACATTAAAAATGTATATTATATATTTTTTATTTCTGTTTAATAATAACTAAATGACTATTAATACTGCATTTCTTTTCACGACTTTACAACCGGAACATATATATTGTAAAATATTATTTTGTAAACCCCTTATGTATTTTATAAATACCTGAGTGAATAAAGATATTTGAATTGAATATAATATTTCTACACGTAAATGTCAAATTGTTAAGCAAGCATCATGTGAGTTTTGCAGTTTGGGGAAAGCACAATGTTATTGTGTAGCGTTTTATTTAAATTAGAAGATTGTTGATTTGAATGGGGTTTTGTTAATTTGTTGATGTCGGTTGAATCTAATTGTGGTGATCTTTATTGATAAGGATTCATTGGTTGTGGTTGTTGCATATTGTTGTTATATTTTGTTGTTGAGTAACAATATCTAGGTGATATTGATCGAGTTGTATTGAGTGATATTGTCTTGTCTGATGCTTTGTTTTTGAAGATAACTGTAAATATTGGGTGTTTTAGTTTAAGTTGTTTTCTTAAGCTGATTAGATTTGTGAGGTAAATATTTTGGCTGAATGTCTGTGGTTAACTAAGTATCTTAGATTTGTAAAAATATTCATTTTGTGTTCTTCATTTTTGCGCTGACTTTATTGTTATGTTTGATCATTAGTTGTTTAGAGTTTGGGCTCGCCAGTTGTCTAGTAAAAAGACGTATACGTGAAAAGATATTTTGTACAAGTGGTAAATAAATGGTATATGTTTGTCTTGGGTGTAGCTAATGATCAGAGTTCTTTGTTTTGGGTGTAAATAATAATCAGAGTTTGTTGTTTAAAAGAATATATGATTTGAAATAGAAAAGGATCAAACAAAACCTAAAATAAAGTGTAAATTAAAAAATTAAGTCTCCAACTGAGAATATTTCAATATATATTGCAATGCCCAGACTCAACATTTCGGAAATTGGTTCTAGTTTTTATTACGAAATCTTTACTTAAATTAAAAAAAAAAAACAAAAAACAAAAAACATCAAGGCAGTCATTCTCCTGACAATATGTCCACCGAATAATTTTTTCTAAATGAGCAATTTCATTGTTTGATGGTTAAGAAAATAAGCTGTAAAAAACAGTTTTTTGTAAGTATTTGAATGATTGCAAAACGTTCAAAATATTATACCTGAAAATTGAGTGACGCGCTTTCAAAGGACAGATAACATAATTATTGTCCCGTTATATTACTTTTTAGCAAATTTCTTTTCAACAAAAGAAATATAATGAAATTGTTGAAGAAGTAATACAATTGCTTAATTAAAACTGTTCCATCTGCGTATTCATTGAAGGTAGTTGGAACTGCAAGCTACCGTTCACACCAATTTAAGCAGAACACATCAATAAATTTATAACAAGGATATGGCGTAGTTGAATCACAAAAAAAAAAATATAAGCAGACATGTCCATTATGTCGGTGATCATGACTTGTAACACTGAAAATCGAACATGAAAAGTAATTACTTGGATATAAAGTATAAAGAACTTTGATCAAGCGAAAACATTTTCATTTAACATGTAACTGCCAAGAGACACAATGTTACGAAATTAATTAATTGCAGAATACGTAAACCAAATTTTCTTAGATTCTAAGAGATAATTATCAAACTTCCAGAACTTGCAGCGAGTGAAAACCCATATTTAATATAGATATCTGATGACTGTAATATATATAATACCTCTCAGCAACACACTGAAGTATTCAACCAGTACCTCTTTCGCAGTCCTAATACCACTGGCTAAATCATGTTTCAATTCAAATTCAATCAATTTCTTCTTTTCAGTTTTTATACTCCTCTCCTGGTGTTCTAACTCGTTCCGGTTGCGATGACATGCCGCCACAATTTCTGTATTTGCTCTGATTATTCTTTGTATGAGTTCTTTGTCCTGATCTTTATTAGTTGCTTCTGCCATCAATAGCCTAAAGTTTTCAATAGACGATTCTGTTACACCATACTTTGATTGCAACACCGAACATAATGTCGCAAGTTCTGAATTCCCTTTTTCAAGGGATTCTAAAGAGTTCATAGTCGATTCGGCCTTTTTCAGTCGATCTGATACCTCCTCAAGTTCTTTTTGGTAATTCAAATTGATAATCTCCATTTCTTCGAGATCAGTTCTTGTTTTTGCAAGTTGTTTATATACATTCATGAGTTCCTGACATTGCTCACTTACATCTATGACAGCATCTTGCCCTATAGTAAAATATATCTTATTACATTTATGATTGAAACGTGGTTATATTATCGGATTGTTTCAAAAGACAATAACTATGTTCATACATGTACTCTACGCCAACTTGAAGTGAATTTATGCCCATCCAATTATCAATGATGTCTGCACAGGTAAACGTCAAAATGCCCGTACATTTTACCCTGATCATGTTCAATATTATTTCTTACTATGCAAAACTTAACTCGTACATTTTTTTATTAAAGTATATCGGTAACGTTATATTGTTTAAGTGAGGGGACAGACTTTTTATCATAAAGGTCGTTTTTACATGCAATCCTTAACAATTTCATTTTTAATAATATGTCAATCACCATCATACTAGCCAATTGCTCAAAATATATCATAAAATTTTCTACAGCTCAACTAGACAGCAACAAGAATGAGTATTTATTCGATATATTTTACCCGCAGACTGATAATCAAAATGATCAAATCATATTCCTTTCCACGTCCAAAAGAATTGAATTTATCGACCAAAATTAAGCGTTAAAAGTAAGATATTTCGCTTCAGTTCAGATTCGTATTTTAAACATATATTCCTTTTCACTAACAAGGGTCATGTTTTGTATATATCTAATCAATTCCAGCCAGCTGTGATATAACTTATTACTGTGATGCTGCTATTTTGTATTGAAAACAATATCGATGTGTTGATGAGAGGGTGTAGTGGATGATATAGTTGAATAGAGGGCTACATTTATGAGACCAAATGCGTCAGTCGAGCATTAAATGCATATAACAAGGCTTTAACTTTACGAAATCCCGGCAATAAACTTGTTTACGAATTAATATTTTTGCCTTTTTTGATTTACTTTTTAAACTGAACAAAGAAGAAATAAAGGATGCATACATATTTTAGAAAAGTATTATAGATTGATTGCATGTTGATATAATTGTAAACAAGAATTTGTAACAGAGTTGCCAACTTCCCCCGCCTCAGGGAAAATTTATATTAAGCATTAAAGTGTGCTATTTCAAAAGATTTTGGTATGGCTCTCAGTACTTTCAGTACATAATTATGATCACAGCTAGATCTGCCAATGCAACAGAAAATTTATTAAAGAAATAAAATGAAACATGGAATTTAAAAATCTATTATGTTAAGCTTTGACCACTTAGTGTGACTCTGACCTTGGAGGTAGGGTTGCAGGTGTTGTGCATGCCATATCGTCTTATTATTTAAATATTTGTGCCAAGAATTTTCAAAATCCGTTGAACTATGAAGACGTTATAGATTGGACACAAAATAAACCCATTTACAGATAATATTAATCTTTGACCTCTAAGTGTGACCTTGAAGGTAGGGACCCATATTTTCTTTTTATTGTGATTATTTGTGCAAAGTATATTTAAAGTCCGTTAATCTACGAAAAAGTTATGGACTAGAAACAAAATATACTCTATAACAGACTATGTACATATTTGACCTCAAAGTGTGACCTTAGAGGTAGGGACACAGGTGATCATCTTATCATTGTGACTATTTGTGCCAAGTAATTTCAAAATTCCCCAACCTCATTATGGACGGGACACAAAATATACTTTATAACAGACTCTGTTAGACTTGACATCTAAGTGTGACCTTGACCTTGGAGGTAGGGGTGAAGGTGTTGTAATTGACATGTCGTCTTATTACTGTGACTTTCTGTGCCAAGTTATTTTAAAATCTCTTCAACTATGAAGAAGTTCTTGATCAGACACAAAATATACCCTACAACAGACTACGTTAATTTTTGACCTCTAATTGTGACGTTGACCTTGGAGCTAGGGATGCAGGTGATGTGCATGACACATCGTGTTATTATAGAGACTATTTGTGCTAAGTATTTTCAAAATCCTTTGATCTACGAAAAAATCATGGACCGAAAATATACAGAATATGTTAATCTTTGACCTTCAAGTTTCATCTTGACCTTGGAGATAGATGACCGGTTTTTGTGCATGACATATTGTCTCATTATTGTGAACAATTGTGGCATATATTTACAAAATCCCTTCAAGGATAAGAAAGTAAAGGACCGAACACGACATATACTCTCAAAAAGACAATGTTGACCTTGAATAAACAAGTGCAACATCGTCCTTTTATAACAAATACTTGTGCCAAGTTATTTTAAATTCCTTCGATAAATGACAAAGTTATAGACCGGACACGAAAGTGTGAAGGATGGACGTCAGGACGAACGGACGGACGGCCGGACAGAAGGATGGAGCCTATTTTTTATCCCCTTTTTTTCTTCATAAAAGGCGGGGGACAATTAAAATTTTCGAAGCTGTTGCATAGAGCTATATTTACATATTTTCGGTGAGAATTGTATTCTACTGGTCAAATTTAGTTCCCCAAGTCAGTTAATTGATATTAATCTTATTACTCTTCATACCAGGGAACATGTTTATTATTGCTTCCCCCACCCCTGTTTAAAAAAAGAATAAAATCAAAAGAAAATAGAAGACGTGTAAAAAATGTCAAATATTTCCAACTTTACATGATATTTCCTTCTGATGGCTATATTGCCAACAAGTTGTTGAATTATTCATTGGGAAAAATTTATATCGGACACAGTTCATTTTGTGTAGTGTTTGAAAGTCCTAACCTGTAACATCGTATTGTTTGCCATCTATTATGATGATATCCACATCTATGGCTGTAAATCTTCGAAGATTCACTTTCTTCTCTAACATGCTTTGTAGTATGTCGGCATACATTTCAGGCATCGTAAATATGATGATGAAGCTTGATCCTGGCTCAACAGCAGATATCAATATTTCTTCAGGGGGAATACAAGCAATACTAGCCACGACGTTACGTAACAGATCAAGTTGTTCTTTGTTGTAATTTTGAACATCAGCTTTGACGTGGATCTTTATCTCCTTTTCCCCGACATCTAGAAAATATTTTTTTTCTACATATTTTTAAGATATTTAATTTCATTGAAATTTAATATAGCTTATAGGTAGTTCGTATTTGTTGAACGAAAAATAAAGATAACTAGTTATCGATAATTTAAACGTTTTATATATTTATATTTTTGCGAGAAGCAATCGAAGTATTAAAACAAATAACAGACTATATTGTAATTACAACTAAGTTAAGTATTTTTGACTGTTTTCTTACATTTAAGAGTTCAATATGAGTAATATCGAACTATTTTATTCATCTATTTGACATCTATCAAAGCTTAACGCACTTATTTCATAACTTACATTTGGGACTGTTTAGAAATTGAAGTTTCAAAAGAAAAAAATCAAATGATATATTACCAGGTCGTCTGTCAACAGAGTAATAATATATGACGTCGCCTTCCTTCATACAATACTCAACTGTTTTCTGAAGTAAGTCATGTTCTTGCAAAACGTAAAGAATTTTATTCAAATACAAAACATTATCTCTCGATATATACCCTCGTTGCTTCAAGACTGTGAACAATTCAACACACGAGTTACATTTTTCAAGAACTCCTTTACCTATTCCGTTTGGTCCTGGAAGAGAATGTGATATGATCATTTTATTAACCGTCTGCAAGTAAGATATACTTTTGAAGGCATATTATTATTATATAGTTTTCTATAACATCGTTTCAATATACCTTTAGCATGAATTAAAACCCGCTTTATTTAACTTGAACTCACACCTAAACTACAAACACAAATGAGCTGCGTCACCTCAAAACCAACATAATGGGTTTGCGACCAGCATGGATCCAGACCAGCCTGCGCATCCGCGCAGTCTGATCAGGATCCATGCTGTTCGCTTACCGACCCTTTTGCAAGTAGAGAAAATGATAGCAAACAGCATGAATCCTGATCAGACTGTGCAGTTGCACAGGCTGGTCTCGACCCATGCCGGTCGCAAACCCATTATGTTGGTTTTGTCGTGACGCGGCTCAAATTATAAAACGGGTGAAGCAATTTAATCCTAATCATTGATCTAGCATACTAATTAACACGTTGAATAAATATTATGTAGATTTCAGATACTAAACGTTATATTTCACACACTGTAGCAAATAATGTTTAGCTATTCTGCAGCGCCATTGAATGTTTTGATGCTTTATAGAACAATATTTAAAACTATAGAAGATACGACGTTCATGGTGGAACGTTTGCTATTGTTGTATTTTTATCAGGCACTTATTATCATAATTGGCGTGTATTTTGATTTAATAAAAGTGCCTTAACGAAAAAAGACATTTCAAAGAAAAAGAAAACATGTTAAAAAATGGCTTGAACCAACGACCTCATTCAAATACAACATAAATGCCTTATTGTGCTTTTGGCACTTATAGAATTTTGTTTGTGATCGCGTAACTATGATTAAATAGATTGAAATATGATGTCGTTTTCGTTAAACAGACGCAAGAGGTGTGTTCAATAAATACGCGGAGACTTGTCGCCATTTCCCTTTTTTAAGTATTACTAAGCTGAATTAACCTTATACAGTTTTATAGACGTCAAACATATTTAAAGAATTTTCAGCAAAGACTGCTGTTCAGTCATATATCAGTGGTATCATATGTTGGAAACGGTAGCTATGGAAACCACATATAACGATAACCGGCCCACTTTGGTTCTTTTTTTCAGATATTCGCTGTTAAATAATGACGTCGCATTTTAATGTTTATCGTGCCATTATCACCAAACCGTATTTACGCGCAATTCGTTGGCGTAGTGTATTTGACGTCATGTTATTGTGTGACGCCAATGATCCGTTTAACGACCACATTGTATGCTTATGCATTAAATTGGCTGAAGAAGAACATTTTCATAATAATTTTGCGTGTAAAACGGGGTTTTAAAGAAAGACACAATGCTCAAGGAATATGATCAGGCGATTAAGAAAACGGCAATGTACAAGAGTCATACATGATTTCAAGACGTCCAGCAAAGCTTTCATGACGACAAGCGCAATGGAAGTCCCAGGATTGTAACGTCAAATCACGTCATTGGACATTAAAGCTGCTCGACAATTATCGTCTCACAACAATTCGCGGATTATAGTATCGGTACAATATACTGAATTATACACGAAGAGCTGAATATGAGCACATGTGTGACGTTGTTACGACGTTAGGTCGATTTGAATGGAATTACCTTAGAGATACATGTTATTTTTAATTAAGTTTAATCCGTTTTTATTGACATTTTGTGTATACGTAAACTGTACGTTTATTTTCAACATGTAAAGAGAACGTGAAAATCCCATGAGTATTGAAAATAAAACAGCATTTTTCCGCGTGTTTATTGAACACCGATGTATATACCTAGTTAATAATCTTATTCTATGAAACCAACTTTGTTAACAAATGGATTAATGATAAGCAGTTGTGCACCCATACGTAAAATACCTTTCTTTAGTTAAGCAATCGCTATCGTTCGCACTGTGTCATATATGAATAAACGACCTCAGGTGCGTGAATATAATTATAATCATAAAAGTTGATTCACTTACACAGTTCGCAGATGTTTTGGTCAAGGTAATGTTACTGGCTGAACAATTATTAAATTTTATAACATATGCCTTATTAATTGCACCAAAAATCAATAATAAATAGAGAAATAAACGCCCAAAACGGCAAAAATGCAATTTTGTCCATGGATGGAAGTGGTTATTGTAAGCTACCATTCCCTGGCAACATATTTACAGACTTCAAATTTCGGATTTAGAAACATCCGCAGATGTCTTCACAACGGTTATTACGGAACCTTCAATGGGAAACAAAGCATGTAAGTCGACATGAAGACATTGGGCGAACCTATTAAAATGGAATTTTGATAGCAGTTATAAAGTATGCATATAACATACAAGACATCAAATGTCATATATAAAAGATTTTGTGAAAATAAATATATAAGTGGGAGTATTAAATCCAACCAACTTGAAACAGAAAAAAAAGGAACATAACTAGCATAAAACACAACATTAATATCATGCTTAACGATCTTCACGGATTGGAAATAAAATATCTTAGAATGAATTTACGATTCAACTTAGTGACGGGCTCTAAACAGCAAAACATTGAAATGATAATGATATATTACAAAGCTAAATGACAAAAGTGATATGAGCATTTACCCGTCACAGCTTCGGGTTTACTGGAAATTTAAAGAAAATTTGTAGGTAGGTTTAACATGTTTACAAATCACTATGTTTCACCAGTTCGAGTCGACCTAATTCTTGTCATGATGTGTAAATCTATATCGTGATTGCATTCTTATTGAACTTGTCAAAAACATCATACCTGTAAACATTAGTTTTATTCTTTTTAATTTTGTTTCGTCAACATTAGTCGCTATGCAATCAAGAAGTTCATTCAAACGCCAATCCAGTGGTGGATTTGGTGGAAGACAGAGTTCTTTCCGTTGATTATTCATATGTACTTGCCTATCCTGGTTATCATTATTGCCTTCCCGAGATGTTTGTGTTTCTCGTGTTTCAGATGTTTTGATTTCCGTTTCATCCTTTGTATGCGCGATGTCTACATCACCCATATCTTTTACTTTTACTTCTTCCTTATGTTCTACTTGTCTAGTATAAATTTCCTCTAAATCATTTTCTGACTGAGACTGGTTATACCCGTGTTGTCCTGGAGAACAAGTAATATTTCTGGTGTCTGGTGGTAGATAGTTATTTTGCTCCTTTTGATCTTTTATTGGAAAAGAACTCCTGTCTTGAATCGTCTGTGTATGCGAATTTGTTTGGTCTTCTGGTTGCCTTGGTGAAATAGCAAATGCGTCTTTACTTAAATCGTCGTCCATATTAATCTTTAAATCAAACGAAACTGAAGCTAAACAAAGATAAAAAGTTATTAGTATCAGATAGTATCACAAAGACTAATTTAGAATTACGTAGGTGTACAGTATGACATGACATTCTTTATTAAAAATGATTATTAAAACCGCAGCGTCAGGTTAATGTGTTAAATTTTGTTTGCAAATATGCGTTTCGAATTGAGCAACGTAGATCATGTTTTGTTATTCTTGACATATTTGTTGCAGTTGTTAATCTGTATTTAGTGATGTCCTATTCTTCCTTACCTCACCTAAAATTTACTAAATCTATTCGTTTACAAATTATAATTATTTGTATCATAGTTTGGGGACCTTTCTGTTGAAAAAATGTCAGAGTTAAATCGTATACATATACATGCACAGTGCGGTAACTGGAGTGCAGGTATCAGTTACCCGCACTCCAGATAATGCCAGTTGATTGGTTCATTTTTGCTGGGGTTTACATATTGTGACGGCAGAGAAAGGGAAAGGGGCAGAAATGTCATATTCAAATGCTCGTTCATTGGTTCATTTTTTCTGGGGTTTCGTATTATGACAACAGGGAACGTGCTGTCATGTTTGACTATGATACAAAAGAGAAAGAACACCAAAACACACGGCAATCTGATTTATACTCGGGGGCTACGCCCCCTCGTACAAATCAGATAGCCTCGTGTTTCGGTGCTCTTTCTATTACATATTAACCACTGGTACTTAGATCAATCTATAATTCTATATCCATATTTAATGAGCATTATAAAGAACTGTACAATTGAGAACATAGGACTGTTATATGTCTTTATTAAAGGTCACCTGTATGCAACAATTAAACAAAATTTACCGTAGGGTTTATGAGTTATGGAGATATATATATACATATATATCTTATTTGTATCATAGTTTGGAGACCTTTCTGTTGAAAATGTATCGGGGTTAAATCGTATACATATACATGCACAGTGCGTTAACTGGAGTGCGGATATTAGTTACCCGCACTCCAGAGCATGCCCATTGATTGGCTCTTTTTTGCTGGGGTTTACATATTGTGACGGCAGAGAAAGGGAAAGCGACAGAAATGTCATATTCAGATGTTCGTTCATTGGTTCATTTTTGCCGGGGTTTCTTATTGTGACAACAGGGAACGTGCTTTTATGTTTGACTATGATACAAAAGAGAAAGAACACCAAAACACTCGGCAATCTGATTAATACTCGGGGGCTACACCCCCTCGTACAAATCAGATAGCCTCGTGTTTCGGTGCTCTTTCTATTACATATTATACATATATCTAAACCTTTGCTTTAAGAAGGTTTTTTTTTCAGAAATGAAGAAACTATAAATAATCTATAATATCATTATTATGAAAAATGTTTTCCTATTGGATATTGTCAAGAAATAAAATCAGGTAACAAATTATACAAGCAAAATGATTGTTTCTAAACCAAAAATGCTTTTCATATGTATAAAAATGTTACCCTACTCTACCTACTTTAAACACTTATTTGACAATTTTTATATGAAAAGCCTTATTTAAAATATACTTTAAACTAAACACAATAATGGGCATTTATCAAAGTTTGCCTAAGTTTTTATTTGAAGTATATTGATTGATTATGCGAAATATGAAATACTTTTACCGTGTAATTTTTATTTTTTAAACTTTGAAAATATCTGGTATCATATTTGCTGTTAAATTAGGCGTTTTTTAGCAAATTAATACCTACAATAACTATATAATTAAAATTAAGCAATTTTCTCTTCCACAAAGGATCTGAAAAATACATAAATAACGTTTAAAAGAAAAAAAGATGCCCATTCTGGTGTTTGAACCTACGCCCATCAATTCCAATGTAGTTGACAAGTTATTCTAGCCTATTTGAATACTTTTCAAAGTGGAGGTAATGTATTACCCATTGGACTATCTTAATACTAGGCGCATATTTTAATAAGTGACAACCATTCAATTTAACCATCATTTGCACGTTGAGTTACATGTATGATATACCGTTAGAAAGAGTATTGATTTTTCAAACAAACGATCTATTATGGCACGATTTGCACGTGTAATAAAACTTTAGCAGGTCATTTAAATACATGTTGTTTTGTATACTGGTTTGACATGGCTGAGTTGCATCATTGGAACTCGAGAACGGGACCGCAGATTGCGGCGTATATTTTCGATCTTGTAACGGTTTTTAAAAACGTTTCTGCTACATCTAAATATGTAATAGTTACCGTACGAGGAATAGGTCTGCATAGTATTTACAGACCCGGGTGGCGATTTGAAGACCGAGAGAGCGTAGCGATCGAGGTTTTTAAAAGGCCACAGGGTCTGTAAATACTATGCAGACCTATTCCGGGTGCGGTAACTATCTTACCTACATGCTCTTTTGTTTTTCTATCCATACGTCAGTTTTAGCTCAGTATTTATTATTATTACCCCTCACTTTTTTCGTAATGCTAATTTCCCATAGGCCTCTGGGAGTTATTTTTACTGTTAATGCAAGTGTACCACGTGACTAAAAATTTTGTACTGTTACATAGGTAACAGTATTTTTAAGCGGTCACGTGGTCTATTTCCTAAATAAAATGAAATAAAATGGCCGCCATTTTTTTTCTCGATTCATTCTTATTTTCAACGTTTAACCCCGATAGGACATTAATTTCTCCTCTGGAGTCACTATGACACTCATAAAATTTAGTTGTTTGCACCCTGGTGTGCTTTTCGCGTATAAAATATCTTTTTGCTCAATAGTCAAAAAGTGAACATCCGTTTTCAACGGAAGTGATTGCAATGTAAATAATTATGTGTCAAACTGGAACATGCAGAAGATTTAAGCATGCAACAAAGGATTATTTAACAAATTTAATCAGTGAAACGTTACAGATATGGTGGACATAGGATATCATCGTAATTTTGTCAAAAACCATGCTAAGAATATTCTGGAAACAGAAGGATCAGATTTCACAGATCATAACCGTGTAAATGGGTTAGTGTTTTGTTTCCTAAATAAAACCTAGCTTATTGTATGTTTATGGTTTGTAGATATCATCACATGCTTAAAGAATAAAAGAAAAAGAAAACTTCTCAAGTAGGCATACAGTAAAGTACACTTTAAACTTAAAAGGTAAGGACAGTTTAGTTATTGTTACTCTTGGTTTATTTTTGTTACAGTTAGATTTAGTTGACAATTTCAGATCATCTCAGTATTTTTGTTCGGGGTAATAAAATAAATAACACATGGGTTTGTGGGTAACAGTAAAAATATCATCCCTCGTAAAAATACTGTTACCCTCGGCTACGCCTCGGGTAACAGTATTTTTCTCGGGATGATATTTTTACTGTTACCCACAAACCCATGTGTTATTTATATAATATTACTCACAAGAAACATACTACTTATTTACTTTATCATGTTTAAGAAAGCATTCCAAAACCAAGCAAAGATACCATCCGCTATGCCCTTGTAATTTATTCGTTCACAAATCAGTTGTTATTTGAATATTCTCGTGATTTTCGTGGGGTTTCGTTAGGTAATGTACTTGTTGAGTTGAGTCACAGAAAATGAAAACAGAACTTGTCGAGTAGGGAAAGGTAAGATCATTATTTGATATATGAATACATAACATATTCATGATATAAACAAATGCTGAGGAAGATTAAATGTTTTCTAATCATAAAAACGGAACACTTCATCTTTATATATAATAAATTTCATGGTAAATAGATGATCAGGCTATTTCTTATATAATTTAAATATACGATTTTTTCAAAGGAAAGTAAAAGACGGGGTTCTATGAATAAATATTAGTCATACATGTAGTTACACCGTTGTTGTTGTTTTTTATGATGGCTGATTTTAAATGTTCTTCCTTGTTTGGAAGAATTTTCTTTCCGTGTATTCTTAATTAGCATTATCCGTTATAAGACGGCATGTAAGCACGCGGTCTAGAATGGAAGCGCAAGTCGTATTCTTGGTACTGGTATACAAAATCCAAATTGTAATGTAAAAATGACTGGGACAAAATGAGAAAAACGGCCTTATACTTAAGATGAACTATACTCTCACTGAAAGTAATATTTTGGAAAAAAAGAAAGATGCAGAAGTTGACTTTGATTCGATATGCCCCAATAATAAAATCGTCGTATATATCCTATAATGCAGAATTGTTAAAATAATGCAGGATTGTGCAAATTCCGACATAATTGTGGAAATAAATACTGAAAACTAGTATCTTATGAAGCTATATAGTTCGGCAAATGTGTTAAGTATACCAAAAATCAAACTTTAAAGAAAGGCTTAATGTGCGTTGTTATACTCATTAATATCGGCGAAATACAAAACTTCGACGCTAGAACAGTAAGCCAGTTCGTTTTTCTCACTTTAAGTTATGAGGGTACTTACAGCCGTATGCGCTAATTAATTTCGAATAATCTTTAAAATATATATCGACCCTTTCTCCTATTCAAAGTGGTCATTATCCCCCCCCCCCCCACAATTCAGCGTTATTTTACGGTGAATATTGTTGTGTACTGTAATGCACGAGTTTCTCGACTTCACATATTTTCTATTGTATAGAGAACAATAGAACAATAACCGGTCGGTATCTATTTGCAGACCTGTTAACCGGTCGGTAAGTGATTTACTAGACCGCTTTTAACAAAAGAGCCGGTAGGTAACTTTTAGTATTATCCGAGTGTATGGACTCAAAAAATATATTATTAATTGAAAATTGAACCCAATCTGTCTCTTTTAAAACTGGTCAAATTTTACGGTATTATAAAAAAAGACAAGGAGTGACATCCGCCATTTGCCGCAACGTTTTCAGCTTTGGCTACAATTGATTACTATTTTTTTCAGAATTTTGTTCCCGTTATTTTTGTCAACTATCAGGTATCGTCCGGATATAACGTTAACGGTTTATTGTTTACACGTGTTGACATGTATAGGCGGCATTATAACGGGCGTAATCGTGTATTGATTTGTTAAAATGGAGAAAACAGACACTTTAGTAA